GGAGGTTGCGGTGAGCTGAGATCGCGCCATTGCACTCTAGCCTGGGTAACAAGGGCGAAACTCTGTCTCAAAAAAAAAAAAAAAAAAAAAAAGCAATAGCTGAATACCTCTTTAATATGATAAATAATAAAAAGCTATCCATGTTGGAGACATGCTAGATACATTCCCACTAAAATTGAAAACAAGACAAATATACATCCATTGTTATCATGACTAAACATTATTAAACATGGGCAAGCCAATAATATTAGAAAAAAGAGATAGAAAGCTTTGAAATATGTTGAAAATACATGATTCTAAGAAAAATATAACAAAATAAGTAAAATAAAAGTATAAATAAATAAATAACAACTTGGGAATTTAAAAACTCACTCCTAAGCAACACTTGTGCCAAAAAAGCAATCAAAACCAGACATTATCAAGTCTGGAATTTATTCTGGTGAAATAGTAAAAACAGATATTTAGCTTCATTTTTCTGCATGTGACTATCCAATTTATTCAATACCATTTCTTCAAGAATCCAAAATTTCCAAACCGATTTAAAATGTTGTTTTTATGTCATACTAGATAGAGTGGGGAAAATCTTTCTTCAAACCAAAAAACCAGAGGCAACTTAATTGGTGCTGTTGGCTGGATCTTTGCAGCAACAGCTGCCTTGCCCTTAGTGTCAGCAATTTCTTTCCTTCAAATTCACCTTATCAAAATTGAACAAAACAAAACAGACAAAAATCTTTAAATATGAAGTACAGAAGAAGGGCTTCTGCTTTCCTTACTGAAATCAAGTATGGTACCAAGAAGCCCCCAGAGAGGCTGGCGTTTTGGGAATGATCTGTCATGTCAAATGCTGCGAAGAGCATGAGTAAGATGAGATGAGATGAACCTGGCAGCAGGGAAGTCATTGGTGACCTAAATAATAGCAGTTTCATCTGAGTGACAGGGGTATGAGTTAGAGTAGAGTAGAGTAGAATGGGTTAATGAGCATCCTGGAGAAGCAAAATGATGAGGGCAGACAACTCTCCCATGAATGTTCCATATTCAGGTGAACAGAGAAACGAGTCAATAGCTAAAGGGGAATATGAGGTCAAGGAAGGAGATTTTAAGGATGATAAAAGTGGGAATAATCCAGAGGGGAAATTCCTGAAATGCATCTCTATCACAGCTGTGGTAGGGTTTCGATTCTGGCAACAGAAAGGACTCTGATACTAAATAGGTACAAGGAGACACTGCCAGTTTCAGGGCCCTGCTGAGGGACCAGGAAATAACTGCTGACTGGAGTTTGCTCTGATGGTAAAGGAGGCAGATGGGGTGGAAAGGCAGCAATGTAAGTGACGTGTGCATAAAAAGAAATGTATTCACTTGAAAAACCCTCAGTGTGTTTAGTAATAAATGACTAGGGAGACATAAATATAATTTGCATCATTTTTATGAGAAAACACTGAATCTGCTCAACTGGAATCATACTATTGTACAGTCGCTAAATCAGTTTTACTAGAATGAGATAATTCCAGCCTTTAATCTCTCCATTTTCTTATATTTATGTTTTTCATAAAATAAATGATTTTAGGACCATGTCACCCCCAATTTCAATTCCTTTCACATTTTCACAACTTTGGGCAAATCCTGAGATACAACTTCAAATATCATAAACGAGAATTTATTGTTCTAACCTCCTGAAAAAAACCTTACTTTTTCCACCTTAGTAAAATAAAATACATACTTACTCGGAATAGTATTTCTTCATTCCACTTTGGATTCAAACTCTAAAAAATAATAAACATAGAATAACGTTTTTGTAATGTAAAAATAAAGTACATTAAAAACTTTTGGAATATTGCTAAATCTAACCTTTTTAATGGTTTTTGTTTGCACACTTGTAAGAACTCCATTCACTGGGTCATACAATGTCACTCTCACATAAGGATCACTGTTAAAAAAAAAAAGAAAGAAAAATTTTAATTATTGCTTACCCCAACTGCAGATTACCCAAACTATAAAATTCACAGTTTTCCTTGTTAATTATATCTACAATGATTTCTTAAATTTAAAAGTCAGGTAAGCAATTAAAGTAATTTCTGTATCTCATTAAAAACCTGAAGTACCACGTTAGCAAAAGACACAAACAATTAGAAAGAAAACCTTTTAATCACAGGCCTAATGATTATAACCTTTCTAGATTTTTAAAATTTGCTTGATTTTTTAATTACATTCTTTCTTCTTTTGAGTTAAGATGGTTAATTCAATGATTCCAAGACTGGTTTTGTAAGACTTCAGGTAGTTCTAAGTTATCTCATGGGTGTAAACTCTTCTCATAAATTAAAGGCAAACTGCTTTCACTTAAAAAAAGTAACTGTGGGCAGAGCACAGTGGCTGACGCCTGTAATACCAGCACTTAGGGAGGCTGAGGCAGGTGAATCACAAGGTCAAGAGATCAAGACTACCCGGCCAACATGGTGAAATCCTGTCTCTACTAAAAGCACAAAAATTAGCTGGGTGTAGTGGCACTTGCTTGTAGTTCCAGCTACTCAGGAGGCTGAGGCAGAATTACTTGAACCCGGGAGGTGGAGGCTGCAGTAAGCCAAGATCGCACCACTGCACTCCAGCCTAGCTACAGAGCAAGACTCCTTCACAAAAACAAAGAGTATGTTATATATACCACTCCTACAAGGAGACATGGAGAAAGAAGATCTTGTGATACATAGGTTTGTACATCACAAGACTTTGAACACTACTTGTCCATGGTTAAATTTCTATTTCCCTTGGGTATCCCAAGTACTCACCATTCTCCACCAAATTCCCTCCAAACTAAGCCAAACTATCCTTTCCCCAACTCCATTTCCTCATACTATGTTACCAGACCACTTCCAACATACTGGTATTTAACAGAACCCATCCCTACCCCTAACCTAGTGAGTCAGGAGTCCTCTGGTTTTCAGTCTAATCCCCCTTGTTCAGTTCTCTCCCACCTCCTCTGGAACCTTGCATCATCTGCTCTCACTGCTCTCTTGAGACCTTTGGCTTTTTCTTTGATCTAGGCATAGAAATGTTTTAAAACTCCTCTTCCCCTTGACTTTCCCTCCCTTCTCCAGGAAACGAAAACATATCTTTTTCTTCCATTCACATTCAAATTATTTAAGAGAATAATCTGTAATAACAAAAACAAGAACACTTACATAGCAATTACTCTGTGACAGACACTGCCGTAAGCAGGTTTTGTATATTAATTCCTTGAATCCTTATAACCGCCTATGAGGTAGGTACTATTCCTTTCTTCATTTCATACAGATAGAGCTAGTAAGCAGATGGCCAGGATTGAAACTCCAGCACCAGGCTCCAGAGGCCATACTTTTTTTTTTTTTTTTTTTGAGACAGAGCCTCACTCTGTAACCCAGGATAGAATGCAATGGCATGATCTTGGCTCACTGTAGCTTCCGCCTCCCAGATTCAAGCTATTCTCCTGCCTCAGCCTCCCAAGTAGCTCAATACAGGTGTGCCCCACCCTACCCAGCTAATTTTTGTATTTTTAGTAGAGATGGGGTTCTACCATGTTGGTCAGGCTCGTCTTGAACTCCTGATCTTAGATGAAGTGCTGGGATTACAGGTGTGAGCCACCATGCCCGGCCTATACTCTTAACCACTATAGCATACCACCTCCTTTTCTTCATTTCCTTAATTCCAGTTACTCTTCAAAACCCTAAGGTCTGTTTTCTGTCTCTTCTCTTCAGACTCACTCCTCTGAAAAGGCTCTTGAAAACTCACCAATCTTGTTAAAGCAATCAACATTTTCCAGATATATATATATATATATTTTTTGGCTCTCTTTATGTTATTAGATACTACTGACCATTTTATCTTTGAAACACTCATCTCATTTCACTTCTACGACACACCTCTTCCAGTTCTCCTCATACCACTCTGCTTCTTCGGTGGCTTACTTAGGCTCCTCTTCTACCATCTGCCAGTTAAATACTGATGTTCCCTAAAGTACTGCGCCAGCCCTCTGTTCTCTCTACATTTTCCCTTTCCAATCTTATCCATGGTTTTTTACAACTATATATTATTAAATATAAATATAAAATGTAAATGTAATTATATATCTATCCCTAATCTCACCATCCAGCTAGACAAATAGACTTGGCTAATCCACAGACATTGTCTATTCAAGAACTTTACCCTTTTTTTTCCTTTCTTTTTTTTTTTTGTTTTTTGAGATGGAGTTTCACTCTTGTTGCCCTGGCTGGAGTGCAATGGCATAATCTCAGCTCACTGCAACCTCTGCCTCCTGGGTTGAAGTGATACTCCTGCCTCAGCCTCCCGAGTAGCTGGTATTACAGGCATGCGCCACCAAGCCTGGCTAATTTTGTATTTTTAGGGTTTCTCCATGCTGGTCAGGGTGGTCTTAAACTACCAACCTCAGGTGATTCGCCCACCTCGGCTTCCCAAGTAGCTGGGACTAGAGGCACATATCACCATGCCTGACTTATTATGTTTTTTTTTTTCTTTTTTCTTTTTTGGTAGAAACAGGGTTTCACCATGTTGCCGGAGCTGGTCTCAAACTCATGGGCTCAAGCAATCTACCTGTCTCAGCCTCCCAAAGTGGTGGGATTACAGGCATCAGCCACTGCACTTGGCAACTCAACTCTCTTAAATTTTTAATTGTACATACGTAAAGTTAACTTTAGGCACAACATTGTACAGCAGATCTCTAGAGCTTATTCTTTCTGCTTGACTGAAGTTTAATGCCTGTTAATTAGTAACTTCCATTCCTACTCTTTACCCCAACACACCAACCAGCATTCCCCTCTTTGATTCTATCAATTTGACTATCTTAGACATCTCATACAAATGGAAACATGCAATATTTGTCCTTCTGTGACTGACTTATTCCAGGTAGCATGATATCCTAATAGTTAATCTGTATTGTCACATATTGTAGAATTTCCTTCTTTTTAAAGGCTGAATGTTAAACACCGTATGTATATACTACATTTCTTTTTTTTTCATGTGAGACTGGTAATCTGCCCATGTTGTAACAAGCTTCAAGGGTGGCGCATCTTACACATGCGAGTGAACATCCCGTCATGACACTTATAAACTACAAAATGACCAAAACTACATTTTTTTTTTTGAGACAGGGTCTCGCTTTGTCACCCATGCTGGAGTGAGGTGGCACAAACATGACTCACTGCACCCTCAATTTCCTGGGCTTAAGTGATCCTCCCACCTCAGGCTCCTGAACAGCCGGGACCAGAGGCATGCATCAGCACACCTAGCTAATTTAAAAAAAATTAAAAAAAAAATTTTTTTTAAAGCAATTGCTTGTTCGTAAAGGATTTTATTTCCCCTTCGCTTATGAAGCTTAGTTTGGCTGGATATGAAATTATAGGTTGAAAGTACTTTTCTTTAAGGATGTTGAATATTGGTCCCCACTCTCTTCTAGCTTGTAGGGTTTCTGCCAAGAGATCCACTATGAGTCTCATGGGCTTCCCTTTGTGGGTAACCTGACTTTTCTCTCTAGCTGTCCTTTGTATTTTTTCCTTCATTTCAACCCTGGTGAATCAGACGATTATGTGCCTTGGGGTTGCTCTTCTTGAGAAACATCATTGTGCTGTTCTCTGTTATTTCCTGGACTTGAATGTTGGCCTGCCTTGCTAGGTTGGGGAAGTTCTCCTGGATAATATTCTGAAGAGTGTTTTCCAGCTTGGATTCATTCTCTCCATCACATTCAGGTACACCTATCAAATATAGATCAGGTCTTTTCACATAATTCCATATTTCTTGGAGGCTTTGTTCATTTCTTTTCACGCTTCTCTAATCTTTCCTTCTCATTTTATTTCATTGAGTTGATCTTCAATCTTGATATCCTTTCTTCGGCTTGGTTGATTTGGCTACTGAAATTTGTGTATGCTTTGTGAAGTTCCTGTGTTATGTTTTTCAGCTCCATCAATTCATTTATATTTTTCCCTAAGCTGTTTATTCTCATCAGCATTTCGTCAAACCTTTTTTCAAGGTTCTTATGTTCTTTGCATTGGGTTAGAACATGTTCTTTTAGCTCAGAAAAGTTTGTTATTACCCACCCTCTGAAGCCTGTTTCTGTCAATGCATCAGACTCATTCTCCATACAGCTTTGTTCCCTGGCTGGTGAGGAGTTGTGATCCCTTAGAGGAGAAGTATTCTGGTTTTGGGTGTTTTCATCCTTTTTGAGCTGGTTTCTTCCAATCTTTGTGGATTTCTACCTGTGGTCTTTGTAGTTGGTGACTTTTGTATGGGGTCTTTGAGAGGACATCTTTTTTGATGTAGTTCTTTCTTTCCGTTTTTTAGTTTTCCTTCTAACAGTCAGGCCCCTCTGCTGTAGGACTGCTGGAGGTCCACTCCAGACCCTGCTTATCTGGGGATCACCCGAAGGGGCTGCAGAACAGTAATGGTTGCTGCCAGTTTCTTCTGCTATCTTTGTCCCAGAACTGTACCTGCTAGATGTTGGCCTGAGCTCTCCTTTATGAGGTGTCTCTTTGGGTATACGGGGGTCGGGGAGCTGCTTGAGGAGACAGTCTGTCCCTCATAGGAGCTCAAGTCCTGAGCTGGGAGCTCCGCTGTTCTGCTCAGAGCTGCTGGGCAGGTACATTTAAGTCTGCTGCAGCGGAACTCATAACCACCTTTCTTCCCAGGTGCTCTGTCCTGGGAAGGTGGGGCTTTATTTATAAGTTCCTGACATGCTGCTACCTTTTTTCAGAGATGCCCTGCCCAGCAAGGAGGTAGCCTAGTCACAGTCTGCCAGCAGAGGTGTTGAGCTGCCATGGGCTCTGCCCAGCTGCTGTGTGAACTTCCTTGTGGTTTTGTTTACAGAGGTATAGTTAGAACTGCCTCAGTAATGGCAGACTACCTCAGTAGAGGTGGATTGCCTCAGTAATGGCAGAATGCCCCAGTAATGGCAGACTGCCTTGGTAATGGCGGACTGCCTCAGTAGTTGTGGACTGCCTTGGTAATGGCTGATGCCCTTCCCTCGATCGAGCTGGACTCTCCTGGGTCCAGCTGCACTTGCTGTGAAATTCTCAATCCAGAGCATTTCAGATTGCTCGTCTTTGTTGGGATGGGACCTGCTAAGCCAGATCACCTGGCTTCCTGTTTCAGCCCCCTTTTTTTCAGTGGAATGGGTAGCTCTGTTTCCCAGGCATTCCAGGTGCCAGTTGAAACAGCCGCCCAGATTTGTGAGTTGTTGTGCGGAGACCCACGGTGCCAGCTGAAACAGCCATGCTGGAGACTCATGGCACTTTTCAGCCAGAGAATCTTCTGGTCTGTGGGCAGTAAAAACTTATTTGGAAATGCAGTGATCATTCACACTCTGCATTGTTCCCTCTGGGAACTGCACTCCAGAGCTGTTCCTATTCAGCCATCTTGGATACACCTCTCCCATTTTCTCTTTATTGATTTTGGCCCTTATTTTTATTATTTCTTCCTTTTACTTACTTTGGAATTAATTCACTCTTCGTTTAATTTATTAAGGTCAGAACTCAAAACATTCATTTATATCTTGCTCCTTTTCTAAGTTAAGCATTTTAAAGATATAAATATCCCTCTGAATATAACTTTAGCTACATCACACAATTGTGATACTGCTGTATTTTCATTTTCATTCAGTTCAAAATGTTTTCTTCTTTGACATATAGATTATTTAGAAGCATACTGATTAAATTTCAAATATTTGCAGTTTTTCTAGATCTTAATATTATTGGTTTCCAATTTAATTTCATTGTTCTCAAAGAACATCTTGTGTATATTTCAATTTTTTGAAAATTTCTGAGACTTGTCTTATGGACCCACACATGGTCTATGTTGGTGAATGTACCACATGCATTTCAAAAGAATGTGGTTTATTGTTTTATGGCCCAAAATACTGGGGCAGACAGACACTGGGGTAGCTTCTATTATCCCCACCTCCTAATGTTCATGCTCTTTGTGTTCCTCTCCTCTTAAGCATGGGAAAAATCTATATATTCTAACCAATAGATTATGGCAAAGGGAAAAAAGTATGTGATTACATTATACATAAGATTGTACCCCATCTTGCTAGGAGACTCTTTTGCTAGCTTTGAAGAAGCAACCTGACAGCTTGTGAACTGCTGAATGGCAAGGAGCTGAGATGGCCTCCAGCTGACAGCAAGAAATGGAAATGCTCAAACTGGGAACCTGCAAGTAACTGAATGCCATGAGCAACCACATTATCTTGGAAGTGAGTCCTTCCCCAGGCAACTCTCGGATAAGACTACAGCCCTACTAATACCTTAATGACAGCTGAAGTGAATTCCTATCATTTCATATTGCATCAGCACTCAAATGTTAAGTTGGACATTTTTATACCAGAAGCAGGTCTTAGTCACCCTTAGCATAGTTTCCAGTTCTCTACCTCCTCTCAGCTCCTCAGTGTGGTCAATTCAGATAACTACCTTACACAGTTGCCTCCTGGTAACCAACTCCCTAAGGAACAAGTAGATACAAGCCACTTGACTTGCTCCACCAACCCCACAAACCCAAGGACTGAATAAATAAGCCACAGTAACCACCTCTCTGTGATGGTTAATACTGAGTGTCAACTGGATTAGACTGAAGGATGCAGAGTATCATTCCTAGGTATGTCTGTGAGAGTATCGACAAAGGAGATTAATATTTCAATCAGTGAGATGGGAGAGGCAAACTCATCCTCAATCTGGGTGGGCACCATCTAATCAGCTGCCAGGGCAGCTAGAATAAAGCAGGCAGAAGAATGTGCAAGGACTTGAGTTGCTGAGTCTTCCAGTCTTCAACTTTCTCCAGTGCTAGATGCTTCCTGCCCTCAAACATCAGACTCCAAGTTCTTCAGGTTTTGGACTCTTAGACTTATATCAGTGATATACCAGGGGCTTTTGTACCTTTGGCCATAGACTGAAGGCTGTACTGTCAGCTTCCCTACTTTTGAGGTTTTGGGATTTGGACTGGCTTCCTTATTCCTCAGGTTGCAGACAGGCTATTGTGGGACTTCACCTTGTCTATTAAGGAGTATTGATCATGTGAGTCAATACTCCTTAATAAACTCCCCCTCATATATACATCTATCCTATTAATTCTGTCCCCCTAGAGAACCCCAATACAGATTTCTCAGACACAGCATGACTCCATGAAGTTTGTGCCTGCTTACTCTAAACCCACCAAACACAACTCCCTGAGGGAAACGTGCCTGAAGAATGCCCTGGCCCCCAATAAAAGCCTCAGCCCACAGGTCCCCCTTGCACTCTTTCTCCTGTCCCCCATCCTCTCTAGTTGAATGTGCAAGTCGAGATGGCTCCCCACTCCCTGTCAGTCCTGGGAGGCATGCTGCCCTCTTCTTTCTGGCATCTGTAAGTAATAAACTGCTGTTATTTCATGTGCTTTGTTGAGTTACCACTTGTGTCTCACCTGACTGATAAACTCAACCCTAACTTCTTTGTCAGGATTCTCCTAGAGAGTGGCTATCTGCTATCTCAGTAGAAATAAACTGAACACAGGTCAGACAAGAGCCATAAGGGCATCTGCCAGGATATGCAAGTTATATGACAGGAACACCTGGACATGAGTCAGGCACTTAGACGTGAGGGCACCTGCCAGGATAAAGACATACTGTGAAAGGCACACTGTAAACATCTACATCCAAATTCTTAGTCTCATCAGGGCAGGGCTAGAGTTTACAGCCACTCTCATGGAAGAGACTTCAAGACCAAACTAGAAAAAAAAAAAATACAACAGCAGCTTTTCAAGACCCAGTAACAGAGGACCCTGTAGGTGAGGACCCTGTAGGAGAGGACCCACCCAACAATTTTAACTTCAAATACCATATGTTTTAATTCTAGAATTTTCTTTTTTTTTTTTATGGTTTCCATTTCATTTCCTATTTTTTAAAATTTATTGTAGGCATATTTTATTTTCTCTACTGAAAAATGCCTTCTATTTTCCTAGTTCTTTTTAGATAAGTAATTTTGCATTATATCCTGGACATACATTATAAATGTTAAGTTTTGGAGACTGAATTTTGCTGTTTGTGTGTGTGCGTATGTATGTGTGTGTGTGTGTTTGCCTCTTTTATCATTGCAATGGTTTGGA